TTCGTGATCAGGATGTCGATTAACCCCCATATACAAGTTTTCATCAACTTTAATGAAAAAAGTGGTGGGAGCCATATTGGCGCTAGGCGCCAAAATGGCGCCAGCGCTCAAAACGGATGTGATAATCGTGATCAGCGCATCGAATTACATCTATAGACAACGTTTCAGCGAAAATTTTTTTTCGAGTTTTTTGGGGTAGGAATAGTTCAATAGTGCCGATGCAGCATATGTGTTCGTGTAATATGAGTAAATTGTGTTGCGGCAACAAGGGGCGGTGAGGTTATTCTGGGCACGGGCGGGCTGGAAGTGTCCTAGGCCGTACTTTTTCTCTTCATTGATCAATTCCAAGTAATCTCAAAAAACTGCATTAATGTTTAAGTAAGTGAGGTCATCTCAATCTTACTGTCATTGAATTTATTCCAGTTGGGCAGCGTGTTCTCTTCCATCCTTCTACTGGCTGTCATCTTTTTCATAGGACCATTCGTTGAAGTACTGCCAATATGCTTTCTGTCCTGCATCATTATTGTAGCCCTGAAAGGAATGTTCATGCAGCTCAGCGTTATCCCTCTGTTGTGGCGGACATCAAAAGCTGATTGTGTAGGTCCTAAGGTTTCAGATGACGTCATCATAAGCAGAATTTCGAAACCTTATAGGCCATTTTTGTGGTGAGCTTCGTTGCCACGGTTGTGTGCGATGTCGTCGAAGGCCTCCTTATTGGAACGTTCTTTGCAGCAATACTACTTGTACATGGAATTCAAAAGTAACACTTAATAACTACGGCTTTATTCTTCCTCAAGAGATACTTCTTTTCAGGGCAAAGGTTGTTGAAATAGGCCGACTGAGTCACAATCAAGGCCAGTCATACTTCCAGCCCATAGAGCATTACAGGTTCGCTAACTTACGCTTTACTTTACAACCTTCATAAGCAAGTGAGCAGTTGCTCGGTTCATAGATTCTCGAGTTTGGAGCCGTGCTGTGCACGTACAACTTGTGAGCGTGGCTAAATACCCATCTTCTTTTCACCAAGAAACCAAAAGGAGTTCTATGTTTTTTTTTCGGTGGGCGGAGCCTTCTTAGTGCACCTTTCTTATTGGCGGCCCCTTCTCCTAAGATGACGGAAAGGGGAGGCTCACCAGTGAAAGAGCTACAATGCTCTAGCGACCCCGCCCATATTATGAGCATGGAGTGCGCCTCTTAATCTTTATGCAAGAGTTTCCCAAAGCGCCTACGACTGGACTCAGAATCGAACACTTCCTCAGGTAGTAAGGCTTCGGTTCCCTCTCCGGTTTTAAGAACACAACAAAAATCGCGGAAAAATTCCCGACTGAGGGAAGATGGCACTCCTTCACTGCGAAAGGTTCTCGTTTCATGTTTGTCAAAAGGCGAAATGGTCCCTACGCTCCAGTCCAGCTCCCATACTCGCTTATCCTGTTCGTGATATAGGCTACCTCATCGACTCCAAGGAGCGGACCCCATCGTACCACTTTCGTAACCTCCTTCCTAACAACATCCCTCAGAGCTGTTACGGTGAAAAGCGCATTTTTCATTTTTTCTTAATTTCTAGTGTGAAATCAGAGAGTGGAGATATTAAGGCACTTCAAAACATGCCATGCTATCTCGGTGAGAGGACACAGGCGAGTAGAAATCACATGGTCTTCCGTCGCTAGAAGGTGGCTCCATAATTCCCCCTATGTGATTGTGACAGGGGGTGCGTTTTGGATTGCTTCATCGGAATATCCATGGATAAAAAGTAAGGAGCCGACGCTAGTGTGATGGCTCGGTGAAGACACAGGCGAGTAGAAATAATGGTATTTCCGTCCGCTAGAAGGTGCTCCACTGGAGTCATAATTCCTCTATAGTGATCTGAACAGGGTCGTGCTTTTATGGCAGTGTTGCTTCATCGGATATCCATGGATAACAAAGTAAGGAGCCAGTGAGGAAGCGTGGACCATACACCATGAAATAAGGACTCATGCCAATAATTTTGGCATTTTTTTCCATCAATTTTTGAATTTCCTCTTTGCAGAGACGCAGCGATCCGTGACGGCGTATGCTGTGTCCGTTTTGCAGCTCCCATCGTCTATCTGAATGCAGAACGATTCAAGAAGAGTGTCGATGACGTCATACAACTCCCAACGTTGGAACGAAGGTTCGTTACTGCCTTTTGCCGCGAAAAGTATTCCTGAAAAAACTTGAAATTTCAAACTCGATTCAAACTGGACATCCGATTGGCTGAAAATCTGCCCGATTTTCGATTGTATTAGAGCTAGTCTTTGGGCTTTTCATACGAATAATTGAAGTAGTTCCTGAAGTGTTAAGTGACCTTGATTGGCTGATTTCACTCTCTAGCTCCCATTACTTGGCCCCGCCCTTACTTTCCATGTTCCCATTGTTGGACCTCGTCATTGGACTGCAAATGGGACCATGAAATCAAAGGCGCAGTTCATGCTGAAAACGGGGGGGGGGCGTCAAGATGCCGCTAGGCTCACTGGTGGAAGTGACTGGCGTCACACCTACGAGCGCTGCGACTGGTGAAGGGGGTGTGTTAGACCTATCATAGCCGCCCCCTATAGAACGCGAACTACAATCTTTTCGGCGCGTTGAGGGAATGTCAGAGAGGGTGGGTTTGGCGCAACGCCAGCCCGCTCTTCACAACTGCTGACACGGCTAAGGCCTAGTCGTTTACTTCGCGCCACAGCGGCGATCGCCGGCGACCTCGGCGATCGCCGCGATCGTCTGGTGCCATACCACGCTCGCCCCAACGCTATTATGACGCGCTCGCCTGATTGAATAAGCGGAATCCACTCTGTAACACTTCCTTTACTCTCAATAATGTGCTAGCTAACTGATAGTGCACTTTCTATTGCTATAAGCAGATTCTGGAACATGAGGTAAGAAGGTTTCACTTCTTTTTAGGTCGGGATAAGGCCAACTCTTTTCCCTGGGTGAGCTTCTTTTTGTTTTTTGTTGTTTTTATTGTTTCAATTTATACAAGCGCTTCGAAAGTTGCTATCGTCTGAACTGTTCCAACTTCCAAAACATTTATAGTTTACAAGTGCATGTTAAACAACGAAGAAGAAATAAGAAACGAAAGATCAAATGAAGCTGTTACGCTTTTTGCTCATTTCTATCCTGAATCAAGAAAGAAAATAGAAAACAAAAGCAATTAAGCTGGGTTCACCTTTTCCCTGAGTCAAACTCAAGCTTCAGTACCTAAGGAAATTGTAGTTAAAGGAAAAAAAAGCATGAAATTGGTCGCTTACCCCCAAAAGCCTTCGGAGCGCACGTAATATCGTTGGGGCGCGCTCTGCCATGTACCGACGATCGCGGCGATCGCCGAGGTCGCAGGGGTCGCCACGATCGCCGCGATCGCCGCTGCTGTCGCGAAGTATGAACGCTGCCTAAGCGACAACATTTAGTGGAAAACGTGTGATTCGAAAGATATGATAAAGACTTGTTGCTTGCTGAAAGAAAGGAAAAACAGCGTCTGGCGCGCTGCCAAACCCATCCCCTGCCACGCCCCATCATCTGCAGCGAACAAGTCTCTCTGGCCTTGAGTACGTGGATCGATCTATCACTTTGTCTTTATCAAGTCAGTCCATTAGACTATGTTCGAGATCTTTCTTCAAGGAAAAAAGAAATGAATGAGTGGTTGAAATAGCGCGACAGCTTAATGTCCTTCTCTTTCTGAGCTTTGCAGGAGGAGAGAAGGAGAGACCTGAATTGGAAAAATCAATAAAACACTGCCGAAATGAATCAGGGACAACATTGCGGAGTGTCAAAGTCATGCCACCAGACGTATTGCAAAAGGTATTTATTGATTTTCGGCTTCAGTTCTTCATTTTCGTGGTCATTCTTGTATTTTCAGCAATTTTCCATTAATGAACCCAAGCATGAGCCGATACACGCAATCGTGATCGATTTATCTACTGTTCCTCAAATCGACTACACCGGTGCTCAGTGCCTCATCGAGGTACATTTCCTTGTTTGAAAAAAAAACCAATTGCCATCAGTAATAGGTAAAAAGTTTCTGAGCGTTCATCATGAATACCGCAAAAACCACGAGGCTGCGCTCATACTTTGTGGCAACGTCCATCAACGTCTGCCAGCTTACACCAACACCAGCAGCGTCTCAAGGGCTAGGGAAGTATTGGTGTCGATCTAGCGTCTGCCAGCGTCTATCAGCGTCTACCAGCGTTCACCAGCGACCGGAAGTAGAGAGTATGGGGAAGCAGGAGGGTAGCAAACAGCTGGATTAGGCGTCGTGAAATTGCGGCGTGTGCAACCGCACCGTACAACTACACTACACCGTACATTGAATTGCATAATTCTGTGCTTTAGCAGTTGTGCGGTGCGGTTGCACACGCCGCAATTTCACGACGCCTAATCCAGCTGTTTGCTACCCTCCTACTTCCCATACTCTCTACTCCCGGTCGCTGGTGAACGCTGGCAGACGCTAGATCGATATCTATACTTTCCTAGTCGCTGACGCTGCCGGACGCTCGGAACGCTAGTGGACGCTGGTAGACGCTGGTGGACGCTGCCGCAAAGTATGAACGCAGCCTAAGCCGAACCTCCTACCCCAGGTTCAAAGGCTCGTTTCCTAATTGCAGATCGTGTGTAGTGTGATTCGATAAATGTGTGGAGCTAATGTGGAAAACATCCTGAACAAGACCCTCCCATTTTCGGATTTTGTGCCAGCATGCAGGGAAAAGAGACCGCGCACGGGCGAGAATTCAGACAAGCGAGCGGCGAGAGAACACACAGATTGACGTTACATGTACATCAGCATGGGTCTCGCGGACCAAAATGATACTCGGCTTTTGACTCGCCTCCTGGGCACTTTCGAGTCCCGAAATGGGCTTATCCCTACTCTGTGGACCTGGGTTACCTATTTCTGAGAAGACTGGATTTCTCTCTTTGTCGCGAGTTATTACCTTCAACAGTAGATCAGCGGTAAGAAACAATTTATCAGCAGCGCTCATTGCGATCGTTCTTCTTGAAATGGACGTTGAGCCCAAGTGTTCTGTGGTTGGTGAGTTGCTGTGCACCACCAATCAGGGGAAAACTAGGCACGCATCACGTTGCGCTATCTACCAGTACCGAGGTTTTGACTAAGCTCCTTCAGCTAGCTTCTGATTCTGTCATACTATGCTTATTGCAGGTGTAACGATTTCCTATTATTGCTTTACTAGTTGCCTTGTTACCGCTAATTAACCACTTTACAAATTAGAGCAATTTATAGGTGTTCAACGAGCAGCGAAGTAAAGGAATTGCAGTGCTCTTCGCAGCAGCGCCATGTGAGTGCTTTCACATTTTTGTGAATAATTAAAAATTAATTCATTGTTGCAACCTCAAATGGTTTTGAATGCCTTCTGGTATAATTCACTTCATGTTGGAATTAGTAGTAGAATTAAGTAAGGAGAACGGGTTAAGAACGAGGTGATGACTGAAGAAAGAGGCAAAGGATTGAAAAAAAAGAAATAAGAGAAGTGAAGAATTGAATGGGAGAAAGACAGTAAGTGAAAAAAGTGAATGAATGAGTGCTCAATAAGTACGTAAATGGATAAGTAACGGAAAGAAGAAGAAAAAGATAAAAGGAGGAATTGTAGACCGTTCTCTCAAGCTTGCCAACCATAGCAGTATATATCGCTGCAAACAAGAGGGCGTGTAAAGGGGCTTGCATTGTAGCGCAGCTGCAGCAGCGTTTTCCATACAATCGGCTGAGGACGGCATTAATTGGTGGAAATGGCTGCCGTGGCTCCGAGGACACGCCCCCTCACACGCCCATCGCAGCGCCGGATCAGGACCAAACTCACGATTATATGGAATCATGTTGAAGTATTTCTCTCATTGCAGTACAACTACTGGCTCGATTGGAATCAGTATTGGATTCGAATGATGCGAGTATTCTTACGAATTTCTATCCGTCAATCGATGATGCCCTCAACAATATCAAATAGGTGCGCACGAGGAAAAAACTTGTGCATCACAGATTTCTATTTAGATTTGTATATATTTCTTCAGATGTTTATAATTTAATGAATATTGCAATTTCTATATTTGTGACAGACAATGCCAGAAAAATCGGAACTTTCGCATACATCAAACAATCGGTAACCCAGCACAACTTCCTCCCTCACTTTCTCTTTTTGCCCACTGCTCTGGTAGAACAAACTTTAGCTTGAATCCAAGTTTTTCCCATTCAATACATGGTTTGAAGGGTGCGGAGGGGGAAGGGGAATCGAAAGGAAGCGGAATAAAAAATTCGGAAACCTTTTTTCCCTGAAATTTCTCTCCGCCAGTCAGGTACGGCCCTGCTTCGAGTATTCGTGAACTGATGGACCCAGAATATTTAGCACATACAAGGAGAACAGGCTTTCAGCCTGAGCACGAACTGCTGCCGGATTGCGGAGGGTACAGCATCGCGATGGGTGAAAATTGAGTGTCAACATACCCTACCCGAATTTCCCCTCCAAGTACGAACCCTTCTACTGACTACCTACCAATTTCCCAAATTCTTCCAACTCCCTAACAGTTTTCTCAAACGACTGAAGTCAAGTCGAGCGGAAAGGGAGAAGAAAAATTTCCACGATCAACTATCGGGAATATTTAGTTGTGTAGAACTCCCCCCCCCCACGTCAACTAGGCAAATCGTAGCCACAAATACATCTTCCTGAGAACCAAATATCCACAATTAAGTTCTGGATTAATTCTTGGGACGACGATGCTGTACCCATTTTGCGGGTCACAATAGGCTTCGTACACACTCGTAGTAGGGGGTCAGGATTCACAGGAAACGGACGGATGTTTACCTGATAACGCCTGTCGATTTTGGGAGCGATACATATTTACACAGTCCTTGTGCCGCTGCAGTGAGGGAGCGCTGCTCAGGCAGTGACGGGGATTTGACGGCAGCCGACCCGTTTCGCAACTGTTGTTAAGTAAGCGAGTCCAAATGCCTGTATCCATATCTATTGTATCAGCCGTTGTCGACCGATTACTGTCGCTCACCCTCTTCAACAACTAGTGGAGAACGGGTTTAGCGTCACGCTGAGCTCATCCTGACACGCCCCTTCCATCCGTCAGGCCGAACAAGCCTGTTACTTCCTGTTTCGCTCTAATTCCAGTATAATATCATCACTTGCTTCCACTTTTGGTTCTTATGGCTTAGATTCTTGGTGACTTTTCAACGTCAGCTGTTCATACAGCACGTTGTGATTGGCTTGGTGGGATGTTACATGTTTGGCTGATTGCTGGCGTTTCCTGCACTTTTTGAGTGCATGGAGCTGCACGGATAGACACTAATTCAAGTAGCGACTTATTCTCTTTTCTGCCCTCGACTGCACATCTCCACTGCTAGCTCAACAAGGCACCATAAATATCCTCTATCAGCGTTTGTCCCATCTTGTAGCATGGTCTGCTCTTAAGATTTTGAAGACGTACGTACGCGGAACTTCTGCGAGTACGCCCCAAGCACTGCTGGTTCTTCACGCTTCTTGTAGACGTAACTGGATTAATTGGCTCCTGTTCGAGGCTGAACATTGGGCGTGTTTAGAGGTCGTGCTTGGTTGAGATGAGCGGGGCGTGTCAGGAGTATGGATCAGCGGCAGGGCACGAAGCCTGTTTGCTTTTTTTCCAGGCGGACGAAAGACCGATCATCGAGGGTTCCTAGTCAGGCCATTTGGTCCGCCGGTTGTCGCTTTATCGCTTCAATGAACTCGTTCTAGTACCGCAGTTTTTTCGGCGCGACCAACTCAGTACTGTGACACGCCCCAATCAATCCGCAGCGAGCAAGGCCGGGAGGATCAGGCGATATTCTTCTGGCGGATGCCCAGTTGTAGGGCTTAGCTATGCCGTCGAAGGAAGCAGTTTTCAATCAATTTGCTTATTGCTTCAACTATTATGTATTTTCGAGCGACAGTTTTGTTCAAACTTTTTTCGAGTTGCCAAAGTTGCTCAAGTTGTTCCCTAAAGTGTTCATTTTCACTATTGACCGCCCGGGGCTGTATTAAGTTGTTTTTTCCGTGAGTCTGTGCGGCACTTTTAAATGTGGATAATCAGTATGAATAAATAAATAAAAATCTAAACGTCACACTGAGTCCCCTGGGTACAGTTGATAGCGGCGCAGTCGACTGGGAAGTTTCGGTAGGAGAAATGATCTCGTCTACGCCTTTTTCACCACTGGCTGTTTTCTTTCTACTTCAATCGCTAACCGATCACCCTTGGTAAAGCAAGGCAGCAGAAGGCGGGCTCATTCAACCCTCTTGGCACTGTCCCCCCTCCCCGCTCCACCCTCTCTGGAGTTGCCGGCGCTATCAGTTAGTACGCGCATCGTTGAGAATGTATCCATACGAGTAAAGTAGGCATTCTAGAATGAAACATTTTCATCTTCATCATAAGCGTGGACCTTACAAGGTATTCTTCACTATTTAAGAGAAAAAACTCTTCAAGTATATTGTTTCTAAAAATGGTAAAAACCCAGACCATCTTTTTTCTGGGGCGCCTCTCATTCCACATGTAGGAAAAGTGCAGTAAGCCCACCTGCGGCTGCCTTTTCTACCAATAGAGGTAGGATTCTTGACCTTTTAGCCCCACCCCCGGGTAGTTACAATATCAACGGTACATCTCGACTCGTAGTGGCATCTGAATGCGATCTGCTCTATAAGTGTAAGTTAGCGTCGGGACTCCGGGACAGGTCCAGCTTCAGCTAAAAGCCACAATGCAGTTAGAGCTTGATTATGAAACCCCCGTGGGGCGACCATGCCGGATCAAATCTCCTTGTGTGACTGTAAAGGTGACGACTGCTGCAAATCTGTTCACTTTCACTCTACTTTTCTAGAAATATCCGAACTGCTAAAGATCCCATTTAGATATCGAAATCTCTCTAGAACCGAAATTCCGAAACTTGTATCCCGGAGACTATATATCTCAACTAAATTTGTCCCGAGAAATGACAAAAAGGGAGCATTTTCCAGAACGAGTAACTTCAATAGGTTCCGATAGCCTCTCCGCTATTTCAATTTCTTGACGAACATACCCAAAAAACATGTCTCTGACGCAGTCAAACTCATTTCGTCATGTCCGAGCCACATATGCAAGCTATACTCGTTACTCAAGCACGTAATGACATCATTCCGTTCCTGCTGTTTGAATCATACTTTCCTTTTACCTTGTCCGGAACTAATTTGAATCTTCTCTTGAACAAAGCATCATTGTTTCATGGATGAATAAATAACCAGAGCTTGTTTTTCCTTGCTCACCAAAAAATCTCGTTAACTCCCAATCCTTCGATGCTGAAAATGAGAAAGAGTAGAAGCTGGAGCACGGTCAACTTTTATTCAGTTTTACTTTTCTTTACTAAACCAGAACTCCGATAGAACCGAATTCCAAATTCCGCCCATTCCTTTTAAGACACACTCCGCAACGCAATCCTCAGGCTGTAGAGCTGAAATACGATTTAGTATGTAGCTGCTCATTAACTGAACAGTGAAGAAAAGAGTTGACAGTAAGTTCAAATAGGCCTAAATAAGGCTCAAGGACTGGATGGGCACTCGGAGTAGTCAGCACCGATGCGCGGGCGGGAGACTAGAAACTGAAATAAAAATTTAAATAGATTAGCTAGACAGCATGGTTGGTTCAGCATAGAACTGAATTCAATGCATCACACTTGCGCCTGCCGATATAGGACCGCTGGCACATCACAGCCTCAGACTGGGGTTAGACTTTCACAGGTGGGATATACCACATAGTCTACGATAGACTTCCTTTTGATCTTAACATGAGCGACCCGTGTGAATAGTTTGAGTAGAGCCCGTTCAGGATTAGTAGACTTCATTCGCCATCGGCTTAGATATCAGCTTCTTCGCTTCTTCAAGTTCCGCCTTCTTCAAGGCCTAGAAGTCGTGAAGCGTTTGGATGTTGTTCACTCAGAAAACCCTAACAGTCCTGAAGACAGTTCCCTAGATTGGCAGAAAATTGAAACCTAGAAAGGCCAAAAAATGGCGCGGTTATGAACACGCACTCTTCCCTTTCATCGGGGCACATCACTGGTTGGGGATATTAGTCGACTCTATATCGACCCCTACTAGCAAACCAATTTCCCCAACTTCCTGCCCCTTTTTTCCAAAATTTCCCGAAACTTCCTACTTTTTACCAAAAATTTTGCTGTCGGGCGGGGCATATAGTACGTGAAACTGGAAAATCACCAAAAAGTAACGTCACTCCCACGCGCAAACGTAATACGACCTCCCCGCATCAATGATCAAATACGACCCCCTCCCTTTACAACGTCCATGAAGCGAGAAAAATCAACTATCAAAATAAATTTTTCTCAGCCCAAATACGACCCCCCCCCTCCTGGCGACCACGACCCCCCCCCTATTGGGATTCCCAACTCAACGGATGGTGCCCTGTGCCGAGCGGTGGGGAAAAAATATATTGTGCAAATGAAATCGCGAAGAAAATACGGCTCTGATCCTATCTTACTACCTTTTTCTTAAAATTTACCCACTAATTACCAGTTTTTTCCAGAAATTCCTACTTTTTTCCTCCAAAACTTTGCTCGTGTGGGCAGGGGATGGGGGGGAGGGGGCCGGGTGAGGAGGAGAGGGGGGGGGGATATAGCACATGTGAAACAGGAGAAACCTCGAAAACACCACAACCAAATAAATTTTCCCACAACGGCCAGCGACCCCTCCCCCTTTCCAGCGTCCGTGAAACAAAAAACCAACTATCGAAAATAATTTCTTTTAGACGAAATAGGACCCCCCCCTGCGACCATATACAACTCCCTGTTGGGGAATCCCCAAAGATGACGTGCCTGCCCTCTATTCGTTATATGTAGGGTCTCGACGATATCCAGAAATCTTCATCATATTGCGAGCGGAAGCCTCAGCTTCTACTGCTATATCTGTAAGAGGTTTCAGCGGTGTCGTTCCTTTGTCTAATGACAGACTCAGTGCCCTCGTCACTCAGTGTGGGACAATGTACAACCTCTGAGATTACGCACCACGCCGAGACTGCCTAGTGCCATCCAGGTGATTGCGGAATAAGCCTTATTCATGCTAAATCACTACCGATCGCAGTGGGTCTTAAGGTTCGATCTTCTTCACCGAAATGCAGCAGATGCGCATCAGATGGCGCCCATGCATACATGCAAGAAATATCCTTGTAGTTTAGTTGTAATAAACAACTGAGCTGAGAGGGTAGCAGCCCCCGTGGTGGCGCAACTGACAGCGACCTTGTCCGGAAAGCTTGAGGTGCTTATTCGATTTCCGGCTGTGATCACGAATTTTGCCCATGACTCACCATTATTGTGATATTTTTTGGCGTGCGAATTACAGCGTAACAGCGCCAAATAGCAGTTATCAAAACAAAAACCCCTTCATAATAAACAATTTTCCTGATGGTAATTGGGCATCAGGGAATTATTGGTAGAAAGAGAAAGCATGGAAATACATTGCCTATACACAAATTTAGGCTCAAAGACAAACCCCGCGATTACGTTTAGGGAATAGCGGCGTTCAAGTATGAACGTAAGGTCGCTAAGTGACTTCCCAGGGGAGAAAAATAGCAAAAAAAAAGTGAAACACACCCCGTAAGGACCCCTGCCTCACTGTCTAAGTTCTCCGAATCTGCTCGTTTGATACCGGCAAAACGATATCCTGCCGCCTCTGTCTTACTAATTATTCCTTCGCGTCATTCAATACCATCTAACAGTGAAAGAAAAACAAAAAATACGGGCTGAAAATGAACTTGTGACAAAAAAATAGAATTGAGTTTTGGTGGGCGGGACAACCAGGGGCGTTAGATCTGTCACATTGAGTATCGCAGCGCTTTCGTTACTCACTGTGAATTCGCGAGGACAATCTAAGGTTTCAAACTGGACTAACTGGCCAAAGAAGGACGCCGAGCAAGTGGTGGGGTCTGTCTCTGTAGTATTTCACCAGGTGCAACAGATGACCTATTCTTACAGCATTATCGTGTGGCTTTGACCACCTAAAAATTCCTGCTTTGTTCGGTTTGTTCCTGCACTTGGCATTAAGCAACTAAAATGTCCAGTGTAATTCACAGACAGCTCAGAAGCGCAGTCTGCAGTAATTACATGGGAGGGGACAGTCGATCACTGGGCTTTTCCTATCGTCGCTCTCCTCCTTTTTACCGCACTAGAGCAAAGAGGGCATTAGTGAGGAATTCTTAGGTTAGTGCTGTGTCGTACGGTCACATGATAAGCGTGGACTGTGCCTTGAAAAAGCGACAAGCCTGTTTGGAGGATACCTGTTCTTGGCTTTCAGTGATGCTCTCCGTATACTGTCTGTTGGAGCAACTGAACGGACTGTTACTCATGCTTTAAACGAGGTGTGGTGGCAAGTGTGATCACATATCATGTGAGCGGTCCTGTGATCAAATATCGGATGTGCTCCCGTGCGGGCAAACCAAGCCGTCTACCCTTTCGACGGTAAAATGGTGACGGATTTGAGTGGGAGGATGAGAACACTAACTTTTATATCGGCTGGTCCCCGGAAGTCATACTATATGCCTAACTGCGCTTTCCGACTGCGATTCTGGCTGGAGAGTGAAATGCATGGCGCATACCAAAAACACCGATTAGCACCAGGATCCTCACCATTTATAAATTATGAAGGGGTGTGATTACAATAATAAATTTAAAAAACTACGGAAAAAGCTACTTCAATAAGTTACGTTAACGGGCCTAGCCATGAATCCCTCTGAATAAGGTGATTGAGTAAGCTCTCAGCTGGACTCAGTAGGGCCTCAGGTCGGGTAGCTCGCACACTAGGAGCTTCGAGCCTCTCCCTTTCCTAAAGATAACGGAATGATCGAGTCGTCCGACCGTATGTGTAATTCAATCTCATTTGGCGAAAAAAAATGTAATCCGACTTATAGTTGCATTATTCATCAAATCCCGAAGGATTTCAGCAGAAAGCCTCTTCCCCCTGAATTAGCAAGACATATCTGCAAAATAAACTACTGGGTTGGCCCATAAGGAATGGCGTGTTTTTTTCTAACTAAAATTCTTATATGAAATGTGAAGACTTTTCACAATATGCTCTGCGCTATTCTGTAGATAAATTCCTGCTCCATAAGCCGGTATATTACTTTCCTACCAGTTCGTGGTTTTTATCGATTTTTATTTCATTGAAATAGAATGTCAGGTCGGCTCAGTTGAGGAGGAGGATTGACAAAACCTTTGTGAATCTGATCAAGGCGCTCGACGAACGGAAGCACCTCAAAACTTGTGACTCATATCAACAAGGTACGGTGCCTCCTAGGCTGGCTAGAAGTCGTCTAAAGCGATTAAAAATTGGAAATTGGGACCTTGTAAATGTGTACCGCATGGGGCGCCCTTTTTGGTCTCGACTGCCTTCAGATCCCATCCACCAAGTTTTGAACATCTCCCTTGAAGTGAAGGGGATGGTCGAAGAGAATGTGGAAGCCTTCAACGACGCTTCTCATTTTCCTCTTCTTTGGCATGAGTCACCCCGAAGAAAGTGATTTGGTAAGCTCTCAGTTGGACTCATAGGTCGTTAGATTTGATGCTGTCTGTTGTTAGGTCAAAGGTGAAAACTTCAAATCGCTTTTACCGATATGTACCTTCCTAAAAATGTCTTTCAAAAATTTCGAGCGTATACTTAGCAAACAGGCATGTGCTGTTTGAGCTTTTTTTATTAGATTTAAAAAAGGGACTGTCGGAAATGCTCGATCTCGTCGACCGGCCACTCCAATTTACCCTCTAAAAATCAGTGGAAATATGATCTCATAAGAAATACCAAGATTACTAGGGCGAGAAATTTCCTACAAAACGGCATGGAAAATATGATGACAAAACATTCCACCTTTCATGCGAAATTTTGAGTGAGAAAAAAAGCCATTACACTCGATATCCCTGAGATGGGATAGGCGTGGCCGCGTACTTCAACTAAACGTGGCGGTGGCTGTGATTTTGGAGAGATTTTTCATAATGACACAATTGCGGTAGTGCTTCTGTATAACACAGAACAAGATGACAGTTGTTTCAGACTAAAGTATCCCATCCATTCTATGCAATATTCGAATACCACGCCCACTCCGTCTCGGGGATAAGGAGTGTACTTATGGGCCAACCCAGTAAATATCATGACTCCCGTTTCTATGATAATTTTACTTACCACTCAACTGCTTGTTAGGATATTATTTGTTCATATTTTATGTAATTAATTATACTCCCTCATAGAAAGGATGGATTAATTTATGAGCCGGTTCAAATGGGGCTTGAGTGGTTTGCATCAACGACTGGCCGGCTGGATGACGCGCGCAAAGTCCGCCAGCCGTCGTCAGTCAGCCTCGAGGCGATTTCTACTCGATTCTGTTTTGGCTCTGCACCTAGATGAGACCTCCTCTGCGCTCTGCCAAGCAAGCCTCCCCCGGCCATTGCTGCAATCAATAGCTGGCAGCTCTCCTATATACCGCATTTGCATATTGCACTAGGTTCTACGATCATTTAAACTGAAGAATCCATTTGATACTATTGCATTTCGGCGGCGCTCCCAAATTTTCATTTTTAATGCGGAGCAAAAATTTTAATGATTGACTCAGACGTTTAATCGCACTACAGTTTCCCTACAGTAATCCTTGGAGCAACCCTGCAGGAGCTCCTCATCTCAGCTACCTTTCCTTGTTCTCTTTCAGCTTTGGATCTGCGAGCAGCAATTTTTCCTTTCTGACATCTCTTCATTAATACCATTACTGCTTCCACTGGTAGCTTATCGATCCTCGTTCGTTGTTATTGTTTTCGCAAGACTTCTCCTCCACGTTTAGTGAGTTACTTCAACGAACCATTGAATAAGGAGCGATCTACGTAGATTATGGTCGAGCAGAATGCCACTGAAAGGCCTATTGAGTATTGGATAAGTAAGCTGACTCTATCGAAATTCTAATTTGATTTGAAATAGAAAATTAAATCCATTTTGCAAAGTAACTGCTTAGGTCGTTCGACGGATCCATTCATTGACGCTGAAACTCGAAAGCAATACGTGCAAAAACTCTGTGATCGCGTGAATTATGAGGTACTTTAATTTCAGACGTTTTCGCAAAGCATAAGGGTGGCCTCTCCCTTTTTGAGCCCTCTGATAAGCGAATTATGACAGTGTTTTCGTTACGTACGTGAAAAAATGCTTGAAAATGAATTTTTACTTCTCTGGGTTGTAAGGTAATGCAGATACTTACTCAGAGATAGCCTTCGCGCCTTTATGCAGAGGGTACAGCATCGTGATGTGTGAAATGGTGTCAGTATGACCCCCCCCCCTTGAAAGCTTCATCGACACCTACCTACCACCGCCTTCTACAAGTTCCCTTTTCTCCCAAATTTCCCGAAAATTCGCTACTTTTCCCCCAAAAGTTTTCCTTTGAGCGGGGGGGGGGGACATAGGGGTGAGCCAATGTGAAAAGGGAAAAAACCGCGAAAAGTCAACAATCGGAAAAATTTTTCCCAACGCGGCAAATTTCTCTCAAAGGCACATACGACCCCCCCCTCTCCCAACAACGACCAAATACCCCCCCCCTCCAACAGCGGCCAAGTACGACCCCCATGTGTTTCACACAACGATGCTGTACCGTGTATACAAGCTGTGTGGCCCTCCCACACTAAGATTGCCCCACTTTCGCGACCTTGCAAGGAGTAACGAAGGAGCTGCAGCCTTAAGTGGCAGCACTGACGCCTCCCTAGTTGTTCCGCCCACCAAAACTCAGAGGCTATTTCCTGTCCGAGTTCAGTTTTTACACCGTGTATTTCGTTTTGTCCACTGTTAGATGGTATTAGCATCGGAGACGCGAAGACACAATTAGTGAGCCAGAAATGGCAGGATGTCGGCTCGCTGGCATAAAAAGAGCAGGTTTGAAGAACTCGTCCTAAGAGGCTGGCAGGTTCTTACTTAGGATATTCACCAAGATTCTCTTGCTTTTTTTTGTTCCCGGGAGAGTCACTTACTGACTATAGGTTCGTTACTGAACGCCACTACACAATATGCAATTGAAAGATTCTTCTTCAAAATACTAGAATAGTTGGAAGTCCAGAAATAATTCCTGATTTTCGAGCAGTCTACTCGAGAGTTACCTTTGCTAGTTCTTGTTACTGACCAGGTATCGGTTTGATGTGTCCTGTGAAGCCTTGTGAAGGTGCAATATGGTACAAGGGCCACTTTGTTCAGAAATCCAGAGGACTTCACAAAATAGCCAGCACAAGCTTCGCTATTTTGTGCCCACTCCCCGCCCCCTTTCCCCTCACTTCCCAAGCCGAGCTGCGCTTTAAATTATTCCAGAAGAGAATTTTCAAGTGGCATTGTATACAATGAGTCGCACTGAAGGTGTTTTATTTTGAGGCTGATGGTGCATTAGTTGCTACTGGTATTCTGGGACACAAAATAGTCAGTCCCGATCAAGACGAAGCTTTATACTCACTCCAGGTGCGTTATCTACTTATACTCTTACATTCGCTTACGTTTGATGGCATAGTCTACGTTGAGCGTGTGGGCGGAGTCGGGCTTAATGTTGCTGTTCCCCAACAGACACATTCCTCCTAGTTACGGCCTTGGGTGTTTTGAAAAGAAGGAGCGGAACGCACACTGACAAGGCCTGCTCCGCCCACATGGTTATCGTTGACTTCTTCTTAATTTTGTGACTCGCTTATTACACTATTATACTAACTAAAATAAGACTGCTAGTTCACCTTACTTCTAAAATATTTGTGATGGAATGTTTACTTTCTGCTGAATATTGTTGCTGAAAAGCATTTGTTACTGGATTGATTGACGTTTAGGCAGTTGATCAATTAGTACGGAAATGCGGCGAAAAAGTTCACAATCGCGTCGGAAAGTTTCGATTCCTCAATCAAATTGTTAAGCTGATTACTCCAAAGTATTTGGGAGCGCAGACGTCACCTGAGGTATGTCGAATGCAAAGTATATCATGTCTACATTTTTAAGCATTTTCAACAAAGGTTAAAGGTAATAGGTGCGCTATGTGGTTCTGCAGTTGTTGTCCGTGCAAATGATAAGGAGCCTTTTCATCAGAGGCATGGTTCGGAGCGCATCCAGGTCGATTTACTCCACCAGCTGATGCCTTTCTGAGCCTACAAAGATTGGTGGAAAAGGCTGCGTTGGTCCACGCCACTTCGATCTATGCCGCTGAACGCCCCCTCTCTTTTCAGGGATAGTGGGAGATTGTCCGATTTCTTTGCAGAAAGAAAATGTAGTCCAGGTCGTGAGTGGTTCTCCAGTGTGTGCAGTTCGAGATTGCTAGGTGGAAGGGGATAAGAAACAACGCCAATGACTCCCTTTGCACACCTTTCTTACCGCCACAGATGGTGCAAGAAAAGGGATCTTGTCAATGAAGTGGTTTACTGGCTCAGTCCACCTCTTTTAGTATCGGCTTACCATTTGTTGCCTTTTTTTCGCACATGAACGCCATGGATAAAGGCATCCCAGTTCTTGCGAAAAAAAGCCTGACTATCTGCGTTAAAAGGCTCCAGAAGCAGAAAGCACGACTAAACTAAAAAAAACACAAAAACTCCAAAAATAAGGGAAAATAATATTAAGTAATCCTGGGGAAAATGTGCTCGCAAGTCCTTATTCCCCAAAGCAGGCTGTTCTCACCTATAAAAATTGAGGGAATGTGTAGCTTCAATGAAAACTCATTTACAAGCTCAACTGCTATTATAACATGAGCGTCACCGCTGTCTCATGATCTACCGATCAAACTGGTACCGCAGGCTTAGTAAATGCCTTTGTAATTGTGTTGGCAGCAAAGCCGTGTCAAAACAGTTGACGTTAATGGGCAAGGAGGCGTTAAGGTC